TGTTCAACGAACGAAAACCAAACAAGACGAACAAGAACTATGCTTGTGTCTTAAAACGTTGTTGTCGCAATATGGACCGTATGAACCTAAACGAATTCCTCTACTTGGCGAGGGATGCCGTGTTAATTTGCATATTCCTCCGATTACTAGTAATACAGATTGTGCCAATTAACCATTCAATTCCTTTATCCTCCATATTTCATAAAGTAACATAATCCGGGCGAAGTAAAAAGTGTAGACGTGACACTTGTATTTTCGAGTTAATCGAGTTAAGTTCAAATAAGAAAACTCAAATTTGATATGTTTATTATCATGTGGGTTCGAATAGCTTCAATATTTATTGAACGAAATAAATTTAAGTATCTTAATACATGACTCGAATAATTCATGTCTATTTTTTTTCATTTTGTAATCATAATTCTCGATTTGCACTTAAATAAACTTGGGTACAAGAAATTTACGTTTAACTTAAATAAACTTGGGTACAAAAAAATTTACGTACGCCACTAAGCTCGCATATAATATCGGATTTTCGGTAGTTAACTTGCCATTAAGGTCACATAATATAATATCACCATTAAATCATATATTATAATGTTATCATTGAAGTCACAATATAATATCGTCACTAAAGTTGCACAATATAATATAATCATTAACGCCACCTAATAATCAGGCTCTCAAACAATTAAAGTTCATTGCATCTCATAAGTTAGTTGCATGGAACAATCATAGTATGAATATATACGAGTCATGCAAATCTTCTCATGACAATCATTTATGTAGAATTAGCACGAATTAATCGATTTTGGTGATTAAGAAGGTGGTTGTTATCTTTATATGTCTTGGATTTGAGCATGTTATTTGCAAGAGTGTTTGAGTGTTCATTGTCAAAGGGTTAAATCTTTTAAACAGATATTACCTTATAATCATCACAGACTAATAAAAATACACAATTGATCATTTCCTCAGAGTTATTCAAAGAGGAACAATCTTTTTTTTAGTTGTCCTCCCGGTTCTCAGGACTTTGCCCTAATCAGTCTGGACTAACCTGTGTTGCACGTCTAATTTTGGTGGGTGAATCTCCCATCAGAGATCTTTTGCATACACAAAACCTCAAACTCAAAAACTCATTAAATGATAATAAGTTGCTTACCACTTTCTGTTGGAAAAAGATTGAATTTCATTGATGAATTATATTTCTTTTGAATATTACAAATTAAAAGATGTTTTTAATTTGAATATTAGTAGGATAATTATCCTTTGAATATGTCAAATTAAAAATGTATTTGTTACCTAGTTAACTTTGAATATTTAAAGATTATATTCTTTTAAATATTTCAAATTAAAATAATATATATTTAAGTTTGAATAGTAAAATGTGATTTTATCTTTTGAATATTTCAAATTAAAAGATATTACTATATGTTTAAATTTGAATATTAAAAGATATCTAATTAGAGTAAATCTCTCTTGAAAATCCCCTATAAATATTGAGTTAATCTACTAAGTTAATCACAATTTTAGAACAAGTTTTCAATAAGTTTTTGACTAGTTCAAAATAAGAAAAGTTTTTCTTTACTAGTTTTCCGGTGATAGATGAAGGCAAGTATATTTTGTGATCTCTACAATTGAGCTACTATAATTGATCATCTAGTTGTTGTATCTTGGGAGACAGACGACCAACGATCTCGAGCACCAAAGGAGTGGCTAAAAATATGTCTTTAAGTAAATTATGTAACAATAGGCATCAACTGTTTTCGATCAAAAGATCAATAAAAAAGTTTTTTTTTTCTTTCTTTCTTTCTATTTATTTTATTTTATTTTTAAGAAGTTTAATTTGGTTTTTTTATCTTCTCATGTAGGGGTGTTCATTCGGTTAAAATAGTGGCCGGCCGAACCGAATTATCATTAACCGAATTAATCGATTTTTTTTCTTTAATCGTTAACCGAACCAAACTTTTTTTTTTTGAAAATATTAATTGAACCGAATAAATTTCAGTTAATTTGGTTAATTTTCGAATTAACCGATTTTTTTTAAAATTTTATAAATTATATAAAAATTGAATATTTTTTAATTCATAAAAACAATTTACAATTAATTTAAATAATATATAATTATAAAATAAAAATTTGTATGAATTTTTTAATTAATTAATATTGATTTAGGTTTAAAAGTTATTGGATCTTAAATTATTAATTGAGTTTTAAATAGTTTGAGCTGAGCCCATATGTTATATATAATATATTTAAAATTAAATTTTGGTTAATTTGGTTAATTAACCGATTTCAAACCGAATTAACTGTTAATCGAATTCTAAAAAAATTATTAACCGCTTCTCGACCGAACTAATTCGATGGCCGATCGAATTAATCGAACTAATTAGGTTCGATCGATTAATTCGGTTAAAACCTAAAAATAAACACCCCTATTCTCATGTGTGATTATAGTATTGGATTGTTATACTTTCAACAATCCTATGACATAGTAAATTCGTTCTTTATCATTATTTTTTTACAATGATATTTGATCATTATTATCATTATTTTATTTATCTATATTATTTTTGGATTAACGACTTTTAATCCAACAATCTTAAGACATATTTTTTTTTTTATTTTTTTTCGAGATGATATATATTCTTTTTAGTTTAATCCTTGTTGTATGTAAAGAAAGTGTTAAAAATTCGACAAAATGACATGGTTTCACCAATTTATATGTAGGAATTCAAATAATTAGATTTTAAAATCTTTCCAAGATCTTTGTGGTTGCGAACTTTATGGGGGCACACATTGAATTTTGATAGTTTAAATTTTTCATTAACAATGATGAAGTAAATCAGGTAGATGAAATTTTAATATTTTTTGTTGACTGTAGAGGAGTAATTTAAACTAATTTTAGTTAAAATCACTATATATGTATTATTCTTAATATTTTTAAGATACCTCAATCTATAAATAATAATTAGTATTATTAGATTATATTTTTCAACCAAATAAGGTATCTAATTGGCATACCATTTGCACACAAATTATTTCCTAAAATATTTCAAACAAATAAGGTATCTTCTTGCCACATCCTACACTACCACATATGATTTTTTTTGAATTAATCAATGGTATTCGATCTATTGACCGACTAATCCAGATCGGGTATTGCAGAGGCGAGGACGACCTTCCCAACCCAGTTTGCTCTATTTGCAAACGTCAGGATTCGAACACCTGACCTTGCTTAAGAGACCTAGTGTCTCATCCCAAGTGTTTGCTTAAGGACCTATGAAAAGATCATCCATCAAGATTCTTGAAAACAAAAAGAACTGAATATTCTAGAAAATTGATCAAATTCTTTCAAGTGTTTTGTATTCTTGCCATCCTTCTCCTATATACCTCAGGTGCTGTTCACCTTTTGCTTTGAAAATTATCTTGAATTTTATTTTTACATATGTTTTCTTACCTATTATATAGGTAAAAATAGAGAAATAGTTCATTTGCAAAAATTTAGAAAATGAAAATGGTCTGAAATTAATCAGAGAAATAGGATTCTTGTTACAATGGATGTCGGAGTCATCATTTCTTTCCGATGATATTGTAAAAACCGTTACGTCATGTTGACCTCGTTTGATTAAAGGGAGTATTGTTTTGGTATACCGTCTTCAAGACAATGTGTTTGCTGTTGTAATTGTTAGAAACAAAGCATGTTGAGCATTTGCTTGCACTTACTATTTTATAATGAAATAAAATAAATATTGTTCGATGGATTATTCATAAATATTTGGAGTTATTTATATTTGATTATATTCAGTTTTTTAAATAAAATAAATAAGAAGAGCCGGGGCTAGGACGTTAGAAGCCATGTGTAAATTCTTAAAAAGAGGCATTTGCTATTCCGGGGCCCTTGCAAATTTTCTTACTAAAAATTGTAAAGTTTGAATGCATTATATATAGAGAGATTGGTGATATTACTAACTCAAATCCTAACGATGTGGGATAGGGAGATCATGAAGATGAACTCATTTCTCGTAAAGTGAAGTTAAACAAAAAAAATGAGATTTTTATTGTAATAAATCTAATTTTTTTTGGGCCCTTGCTATTTCGAGACCCTGTTCGATCGCTCATGTTGTTCACCCTATAGCCCCGCCCCTATAAATAAGTATGAATATAGAAATTTATTTATAAAACATAAATAGCAACATATTAATTATGTAGAACATCATAAAGAATCGTATGAAATCATCACCCTAGTACTATATTATCGTGTAATTATGAGAGATTTTATTTGTCTAAACATGTTATTTGACATAACGTAACCCTATATTTATATTTAAGTATAATAATTTTCTTAAAATTCTCTAAAAAATACCCTTTGAGGATTCAAGTTTGAGCACTTGCGTGTGCAGAGGATGTGTTTATTAGGAAAAAAATCACATCACAAATTATTCAAAAAAAATCATTACGTCAATGACCTCTAATAATATTTTAAATTTATTATTATTTTTAATTAATCTAGGATAATACAATGCAATATTTATTCAAAGACAACTCTTAACCATTTGACATTAGATGCTCACACCCTTAATATTTTTTGGCGCTCGAACTTGAGACCTCATTAGGATGTCTGTACTAAATGTGTAGTTTACCTTAATAACTAACCTAATACACATATCCAACCTAACCTAAAATTAATTTAATCCAATGTAAAACCCAATTTTGCAAATAAAACCCCCAAACTAATAAATTCAATCAATTAACTAATTTTTAATGTTAAATATTATCGATTTTTTAGATATTATTATCATATGACATTTATAAATTTTAAATATATACGTGCTTTTAACAAAAAATTAAAATCTTTAAATAAAAATAAAAATATCACGATAGCAAAGTGATAACATCATGAGACGCAACACGTACCATCATATGAATTAAGAAAATTTTTATTAAATTTAAAAGTCGACGTTGATAAAAAAAAAGATAAATTAAAATAGCTTAAAAGCTAGAATCTTCAAAGTTTGCATCCAATACGTTCCGCTACATCAATTGCTGTACAAATGCAGATAGTTTTGTAACATTGGTAGAAATATCAAAAAGCTGAAAGATGAACATTCTTTTCGACACGAATCCATGTCGCTATGCCATGCCATCTAAATCGAACATCAGCAAGATAACAGCACCGGCTTGTTGCAAAATCCGGGTAGTAATTATTTATCGACGAAGGTCGGACGAAGAATTGCAGTTAAATTTTTATACCGGAGTGAATGGCAACCACGCCCCCAACAAGATTCTCGTACTTGACCTTCTGAAATCCAGCATCTGCAATCATTGAAGCGAATTTTTCCTGCATTCGAAGATTTCTCATGATTAATTTATGGCAACACTGTACACTGGAAAAAAACTGAAGTAAATCACTTCGAATGAAAGTCCTAGATTTTTCACATTTCATGTTCCGGACTTCTAGTTGGTTTTATAGGGCTATATTCGTTTCAAATGAAAATCCGAGATTCTCTTACCACATGTTTTAGAAGCAACACTAAGAACCGCCTAGCTTTACCATACCAACTACCAATTAGTCTATCAGGATATGGTGCCAGATCCCTTAAGCAAGATCAGGTTCAATTCCCAACATTGTGAATGGAGCTGCCTTTGCGGTATTCGATCCAGATTAGTCAACCAAAGGGTCGAATACCGGTGGTTATACCATAAAAAAGAATCACCTAACTTTCCCAAAAGTGAGTATACAACTAGAACACTTGGTCTTTAAGTAACTAATTGTATATTACTCACCTGTGGTGGAAAACGGCGGATGCTTTCAACTAGGTACTGATAAGATTCTCTATCACCCGCAACGACCTCTCCTAGTCGCGGGATAACAGAGAAAGAATAAATGTCATACCTGCATAAAGGGCAGAAAATTCATAGAATAAGGCTAAAGTAACCTGAATCTCATAAAATATGAACTTATATAAAGTGAAAAAGAAAGATCCACTAAGATTAGCGGTGCTTTCTCACATTAACTTTTAAAAGCTACCAAAGATTGATAGCCATCTATCAGATCTCGAGATAAAATTCTCAAAATGCTTCTCATGTGTGTCAGCATGTGCACTATTTGTGTGTAAAATACAAACAGAGATCACATCTAAATTTCAAATTGACAGGCACCAGCTAGATGAAGCATATTCGTAGTCCTGCTTTACCACTTAAGCGGTTAAAAGAGAAAAAAAGAGTGATCACTTCAGTAAAAAATCAAGAAGAGGAAGGGCTGGATTTCTAAGTAAAAAATAGACAGAAAAGAGTCGGGGAAACAGGAAATTTGTAGAAGAACATAATGCAAAAATCTTAAACACTATGCCTCCGTTAAGTAGTCCATATGTAGTGGACAAATCTGCCAATACAAATATCTAGTCCTTAGGCCACTTGCTTATTTCCTATATACATTATAACATGAACCATATTCAATTATGAAAAGTGTGAAGGATACTCACAATTCCTTAAACACAGGAATTTCAACATGGCTCAGTTCGAGACAAAGGAATCTTCCTCCCCGTTTCAACACCCTGAAAAAGAGAGAGAGAGAGGCACTAGCATCATATATGATATAACAAAAACCATATTCAGTTATATAGAAGAGCCAAAGTTTCATTTGAAGCAACAAGGACATATATCTGTTCCAGGGAAATTGGAAAATTTAAGGACATAGAAGCAAACATAGATGTTCTAGGGAAATTTGTTAGCCCCATGAATTCAAGCCATAATCTGGAACTCTGTCTACCTCCTTACTACTCTGAGTACGGTTGTAAAGCTAAGTGGATATTCTACAGTTTCTTTAACCAAAAGTTGCAGGATTTACAGCTTAAAAGGTGAAAAGGTTCTGAATTCCTTAATCACTTATTCATAGCAGTAACGAAACTCATGATTAATGTTAGTCACAAGAAATCAAATGTCCGCTTTCTGAACAAGTTATATTTTTTGTCTCTCTAGTTTCTCTACAAAGGCTTGGTTTCGTATAGTAATTAAAATATAATAGATAAAAGGTCAAAAGTTGAAAGCTCACCTATAAGCTTCAGTGAGAACTTTCTCTATGTGGGTGACATTTCTAATTCCAAATGCAATGGTGTAACCATCCATTGAATTATCTTCAAAACTCAGGGCTTCTGCATCTCCTTGCACCCATACAAGGGATTTGGCTTCTCCAAGACCTAAAAGCACAGGGAAACAAGATATATAAAAAAATAATTCCAAATATTGGGCTGAAATTCAAATTTCCCCTCCCAAAAAATTATTCTCCTTTGGGAGATACAAATACTCCCTTCAACAACGAGCTTATTCTTTTATTTACCTCTCTCTATGGCACGATTTTTTCCAATGTTTAACATGTTTTGGTTGATGTCACATACATATATCCGAGTTTCTTCCTGTAAGTCATCGTTGATTGGATCTTGTAATGCTCTGCGTCTGATGCTGTTAACAATTTCCAGAATCCTGAAAGCAACATCACCTGCAAAATCAGCAATTTTAACCTACGAAACATACGTTCATTTTAGATTAAAAAAAAGGATGAAAAAGCATAACAACACCCCACACTTGCCTCATTTGATTTTTCTGTAGAAAATGACAGATAAATATCTTATTGAGGAGCTCAGATTCACATTAATTAAATTCAAACGTACATCCTATTATGAGCAATATTCAATGTACTTACACTGGAAAATTAATTATCCAGCCATTAGAACTATACATGCTAATGTAACTCTTTATCACTTTTGTAGTTCTTATATTTTCCAAGTTACCTCACCAAATTTACTATTTGACAATGTTTATGCTTTCTCCACTACAACCAATGCACATATGCTATGTTTAACAAAGAAAGCCTACCAGTTCCACCAGCTACATCAAGATGTTTCATTCCTGGAAATGGGCTCAGTTCGGAGACCAGTCTGATAAATTGGGAAGCAGACACAAAGAAGATAAGAGAAAGCAAAGCAGATGATAAAAATGAAACAAGTAGAAAGATCCATAGAAAATCCAACCTATCCTTCCACAGTCTATGTAGTCCAGCACTCATAAAGTCATTCATGAGATCGTAGTTTGAAGCAACATTGCTAAAGACTTTACCAACCATTTGGCTTTTTTCTTCTTCTCGTACTTCTTTAAACCCTGAAAATTTAACACTGCAAGCCTTCATTCTATAGAAGTCAATGATTGTGGAACAGGGAAAATAGTAGGAATTCTGATACATGAATAGGGTGAAGTATTTCAGCATCAAGAGCAAAGAAAATCATATAATATGTCTGTGGTTTATGGATATCTAATATTCATAGTTGACCATTGCATTATAAGAAATAATGACTTCCTAAACCCAAATTTTCATGGTTCCATCTTTGGATATCGTATTAAGCATCAGCCATCTATTTTACAATTTGCGCGCTACAAAATATAGTGTGAGTGTCACATTTCAAACTAAAGTGAATTTGCTTCATGGCAAGACAGAGGAAGAAAGAAAAACTAAGGAATAGATCCAGACATAGAAAACAAGCATAAAGATGATCTAAGCTTATCAAGTAAACTGATGGGCAAAATTGAATTAATGAATTAATAAGCAGGAATCTTTGTTTTCATGTAGAGAAAGAAAAAAGCAGAGAAATACCAAAACTCGTGGCGTGTGAATGTAACAAAGATGCAGAACATAGCTTAGGCGAAATCCTGTTCCTGAGATTCCTAGTTACCAGCCTGAGAGCCATTCCCGGTACAACGATTTGCCTACAAAACAAAGCTCATTTTCACTTTCAACTTGCAATAGTATGATCTATGTTACCCGAATTCTTCATTTTGTGCAAAGTACTTATGTGAGACATATTTCGACGTGAACATGGGATATGCATATGATCCTTGAAATATATGGGGAAAAAGCTTATACAAAATTGAGCATATACACTTGTTCCTGAATCCTAGTAACATAGAAAATGAGTCCTCTACAATGAAGATGATAAAACAAATGGGAAACAATTAGAACCCACAAATCCTTGAAAGTAAAAAACAAAATCAAACATACAATTCCAAAAGATAAAATTGAAAGAAACAAAAAAAGAGAAAGTGAGTACGAAACGGGACCTCGATCTCGGTGATAGAAGCAGTCGGTGAGTCAGTCCGACGAGTATTGTGAAACGTCTTCAAATGGAAGTAGATTTACAAAGAAACTGAAAGAAGGCATAGGTGAGTTAGAGGACACGGGCAGGTTTCGGAATGATTACCCCGCCACCCGAATAGGAAACCCGAACCCAAACCATTCCATCCAAATATGAATTAATCCTACCCTAAACTGTTCATGGACCGGGTAGCCAGCACTGTCCGGGTCTGGATTTAGATTTTTATTAGGGTAAATTGTATTTCCTTTTACTTCCAAATTCTCTTTAAAATCCCAATCTAATTTTATATATTTCAACAATTCAAAGCTTCAGTTGTCAAAAAATAGTCGATGAGTTAGTCCGATGAGTTTCGTGAAACGTCTTCTAATGAAAGTGGGTTTATAGAGAAACTTAATGTAAGTTAGAGAACACAAGCATAATTTGAAATAATTACGCCGCCACCCGAATAAGAAAACCCTAACCTAAACCATTCCATCCAAATATGAATTGATCCTACCCTAAACTGTTTATGGCCCGGGTAGCCCGTACTGTCCGGGTCTGAATTTAGATTTTCATTAGGGTAAATTACCCATTTAGTACCTAAATTATTACTTTTGTTCTATTTTAATATTTAAACTTTATTTTTATTAAACCAATCTAATATTTACTTTAAGTTTTAATTTGATATTCGTCTTTAAAAACTTAGTGGCAGTAATTACGTGATTTTTTTCTTTTTTGATATTTTTTGTTTCTTGTAATGTAAATTTCACTTCATCAGTGTTGTTAAGTTTTTAGCGACGATGTACTACATTGAAACATAAACTAAATATTATATATAATTGTAAAAAAATTAAAATTTAATTACTAAAATGAAACAAAAATAGTATTTAATGCTTTCTGTAGTCCGTAACTGATAATTAGACTTATAAAGAGACATGTTCGACACAATATTGATATTTTGAGAATTTAATTAGAATATCTTAAAATTTGGATCAATTTAGAATTTAGATTATAGTTTGAGGATATATGTTAAATTAACCTTAAAGTAACAAAGTTAACTAATTCTAGGTTTTAAGGTTTTAAGCCGTCGCAAAAGGTTGTATTCATTCTTCTTCGTATTTCACTCTCTCTAGCGTCGCTGCCGCCGCCGGAGTCGATGCCTCTAGTCTATACTTTTTTATCCGTTTCTCCCTCTATTTTGTACTTTACTTTCTCTCGTTCTCAACACTCAACAGAAATTTCCGCGTTCAAAAAGATCTAAAAAGAAAGAAGAAATTGAGTGAAATAAGATGTCGAGTCGGCCTGAGTTGCAAGCCCCGCCGGAGATTTTCTACGACGATTCGGAAGCTCGAAAATATACTTCCTCTTCTCGTATCGCTGAAATACAGGTTCAGTTGAAAATTTAATCCTCTTTTACTTTCTGTTGGATTGTACAAAGCATTAAAATTTGGCATTTTGTGAAAAAAATAGGCAAAGCTTTCTGAGAGAGCACTGGAGCTTCTCGCCTTGCCTGATGATGGAGTCCCGAGGTTGCTCCTTGATATCGGTATGTATATTTCATTCTCTGCTCAAATAAAAGGGAAAGTACCTAATGTTATGATTATCTGATTAGGAACATTTGATGTTATTTTTAGGGTGTGGATCTGGGCTTAGTGGGGAGACAATAACTGAGAATGGTCACCAATGGATTGGTTTAGACATTTCTCCTTCAATGCTTAGTAAGTTTTTTTAACTTAATTTTACGTACCAAGGTGTAAATGAATAGAGTATTCTATGAATTGTTCATAGAATGTTCATTTATGTATATTTTTTATTCTTTCCTAAATAAATGAGTATGAACAAAATTTTTATGTTCATTTAGTAATACATAGGTGTGTTTGGTTTGTTTTTGATCGTTTATGTCCACAAACAAACTCTTTGAAAGCTTGTTTACTGGTGTAATTTCACCAACATGTTCATCAAACAAACATATTGACGAACGCTGAACGAACATGTTGACGAACAGATAAACGGACATGTTCTCGCAAACATTAAACGAACCGAACATAAACACAATAAAAAATAAACAAACGAACACAACCTTGTTCGTTCAAGCCCAATTCATTTACACTCCTAATTTTATGACACATTTATAATGTATGATTTTTTAAGGGTTCCCCCCATTTTTGTTGGTTTTGATTCATAGATGTTGCTTTGCAAAATGAGGTTGAGGGTGATTTGTTACTTGGTGATATGGGCCAGGTATTTACCAATTTCTTAAATCTCTTCAAATTAAAACCGATGGTATCGTTGTTGTTTCCTGACATAATGTTTCTTAAATGACGACTTCATTACGCTATATTTACGTTTCAGGGCTTAGGACTTCGACCTGGAGTTATTGATGGTGCTATAAGTATTTCTGCTGTTCAGGTATACTTTTGGTGCTTATTTGAGATTTATGTAGTTAAAAGACTGTTCTTGCTCATGATTTCCCCCCCTTTGTTGCTTTGGCATGCAGTGGTTGTGCAATGCTGACAAGTCCTCTCATGAGCCAAGATTGAGGTTAAAGTATGTCGGGTTCTTACTTCTTACATGCCTATCTTTTTGATAAATTAAACTGACATTTGTACATACATGCAAATGGAAGATGTGATTCTGTAGATGTAACGTGTGATGATTCTCGTGACCTTTTTAGGGCATTTTTTGGATCATTATATAGATGCTTAGCTAGGGGAGCAAGGGCAGTGCTCCAAGTATATCCCGAAAACCTAGCCCAACGTGAGCTAATTTTGAGTTATGCAATGCGAGCTGGATTTGCTGGTGGTGTGGTTGTTGATTACCCGCACAGGTATGCCGTTATTCTGTATGAACAATTTATGACTGTCTTTAAAATTGCTTCCTCTGTTTGTGTATTATACGTGTTTGGTGAGATGGATGCCCAAGTTAATGACAGTTATATCATCGACTGTTTGTGTGTTTTGCTGGACCATCTCTTCGTGTTCGATTCTTTTTACCTTATTAATTAGCTCTCGTACTTTGCATTTGCATTTTCGTTTTTGTTTATATTACAGACGTCCATCTATTATATTCTGTGTTCGTAAATGTAGGGAAGGTGCTATCCCTCCTAATGCATGAAATATAATTTTGGTGAAAATATGCATTCAGGAACATAGAAGAGTTCAAGAGAATAAAAATGAATTCAATTGACATCTCATGATATCTTTTAAACACCCTAACATGAACTAATTGTCTTCCGCCAGTACCAAAAGGAGAAAAGAATACCTTGTCCTCACTTGTGGCCCGCCATCCCTCAGCACCGCCATTCCCAGCGGAAAAGGTGAAGATGGAGAGAGTTGCTCCGATGACGAGAGTAGTGGAGATGAAGAAAACCAGACGGTGAGCCTATATATATCGTATCATATTATTGCTCTTTTCTGGTCAAGGGCTTTCACATTTTTCCGAAAAAGGAAATAAATAAACAAATAGATAAACGGTTTGGAAGGTTTAGTACTTTGCTCATTGTTGCTTCAGCTGCCGCGACACTGCCATTTCCACGACTGCAACTACTAATATTATCGTTGTATTCTTCGGGAATTTGCAGGTTAGCATTTCGGACAGGCATAGACCCAGGAAGAAGCAGAAAATAAACAAGAGAGGCAAGGGCAGAGAATGGGTGTTGAGGAAGAAGGAACAGATGAGAAGGAAGGGGAATGCTGTGCCCCGAGACACCAAGTACACGGCTCGAAAACGCAAAGCTCGCTTCTGATGGCTACGGTGTAATAATCTGGAATGCATCCGTCGAGGAGTGTTTTATTAAGTTTTGGCGATGAACTAGTTTGCATGGTTCATGTTTTATAATCTAGAACTCGTGGAAACCACAACGAACCACACCATTTGAAAATCATAGTAAGTTGTGGCTAATGCATGGTTTTTGTTACTGTTTTGATTTTACGAAAATACATATATATTATTAGTTGACCATATTCTCATATGTAATGGGGTAAGAGGGTAGGATAGTAGGCTACCCCCAACGTCATGTTGAGAGTAACTTTCGTGAGAGACCTCCCGCAGTCAGAATTATGAATTGTTCACCGTGGTATTCAATCTCACGACCACAAGGTTAAGAGTCTTGCGTTCTTACCAACTGAGTTGGACGGACAATTCATTTTATTTAGGTATAGGGATCGTCAAATATTATAATCCGATGAGTTATGATCTGATTATATAAGATTATTATTTTTAACTTAGGGTCTGTTTGATTCACTGAAAATGTTTTACAGAAATGTAAATCATTTTCCAGAAAATATTTTTCAGTGTTTGGATGGTACATTGTAAAATGTTTTACACTGTTTGGGTAAATTTTTTGAAAATTATTTTCAAAATCTGTTTTTAATAAAAAAAAACTGTACATATTGAATATGTTTTATTATTTATTATTTTTAAAAGTTTTATTATTTATTATTTTTTAAACGTTCATTTTTTATATATAATTATATTTTGTAAAACGGTTACTGATTGATCCAGAGATCGGAACACAAGTACATTTTGAAAATCTTGAACTACATCTTTAGACAGGTATGATTATAGAACCTATTAGTTAACTAAACTGAAACAAAACAACATTTGAGTTTTCTTGCTGCATGTGTATTCCATTACAACATCTCAGAAAACATATGCAATCATATGTTTCAAGCAAAATAATATGTATCCAAAATTAGGCAAAAATTCAATGCCAACAACAAAAGGCAAGTACAGAAAACTGAGTTTTATTAGAAAACATACAAAACACCACGTCGGTAGAACACCAGATTTGCTGAAGTGATAACCGACCAGACGAATACAATCCACCAAGCCATGAACACGACCACTTCTTTAACAAAAGCAGAGCAAGGCAATAAACCACAAAGGAGGTTGTATCTATCAAATGAATCAATGTCAATTTGAGATAAGTCAAGGAAGAGAAGTACCAACAGTGATGGTGCAAAGAATTGCAGAACTGCAAGGCATATGTAGTGATTGTGCATGAAAACCTTGGCTCGGCTGAAATCCAAATCTGGAACCTTGCTAGCATGCAATTTTTGATACCAAGTCAAAACTGCTTCGTTCAAAAACATCTACAGGTTCGAATGTACTGCGATGATTTGTGCAATTCCGGAGAGCAATAAGCAGAGAAGCCTAAACCTAGTGAATTTTGAATTCGAAAACCCAACATTTCTAACAAGTTCCTCCGCAGCTGATCCACCATGGAAACTATTCTTGTTAACAAGGATTTCAGCAAATGGATTGATCCAAAGTAAAGCAGTGAAAACTGTTAACATGTAATTGGTTTATAGAATCATTCTAGCAAACCATCCACAAGAAATTATGGACAAATTATATCTAATCTGATCAGTCCCAAGCCAAAAGAACCTTGCATTTTTCCGCATATACAGAAACCCAACAAGCAATCCCATGAAGATGGCAATAAGAATCCTCCAAGACCCTTCGATCGAATTGAAATGGAAATCGAAAACCGAGGGTCCTATTCCAGAACACATCATAATCCCTATAACAAACCCTAAAACACCAAAAATCACACTAAATTGCTTCTTCGACCTCTTAGAAGCAGATTTCTCAAATGATATCTTCGCAAGAGCTAAAATGATTTAGTTAAACTAATGAATGCCAGAATAACCGAAATCAAATTCACATTCCCATAACCCTCAGAGCTACCTAAATACTTGTAAAGCAACAAACAGGAAATACCCACAAAGGAGAAAAGAAAGGAATTGTGGTAACCATCGAGTCCGAGACCAGAATTCGAGCCAGAAGGTCTACTAATGGCAGCTCTAACGCCGGTGATGAAAAGAGGTCAAGCAAGATAAAAAGGGAGAAGATGAAAAGAGAGATACCTGAGAAGACGACCGTCTGCCTCGCCGGTGACAAATATTCCAAATAGTCGATCGATTTTCCAGTGTGAGCAAGGGACAGGAGAACAAAGTTGTTTTCTGTGTGGAGAAGGGACGAGAGAAAAAATGGAAAACGACCTACCCTTTTCCAAACGGTAAGTCGAAATACCATGTTTTCCTCTCACTTTTCCATTGACCGTAAAACCAAATACATTGACCTGAGTGTTTTCCAGGAACCAAACACAGGAAAACGGGGGAAACATTTTCCGTAAAATGTTTTCCCCGTTCCAAACAGACCCTTAATTTAGGTTTAGGGTAGTTATGATTCTTCTTTAATTTTACTGTGTCGGTATATGTCTGTCTCCATATAATAAAAGAGGGTAAATTACATATTCCTTATTGAACTAGGCTCTCTATTTCTATTTTCCTAACTTAATTTTCAATTTTTCTAATTAACTTATTGAACTTTACAAATTGAATTATTTTGCTTATTCATTTGTTATATCTTTAACGTTTTGATGACATGTTATTATCTTTTTAATTGTTTAATATAAAACAATTGAGAAAATAAAAAAAAAGAAACTGAAGGTGAGCGGATGTCACTATAGACCATCGTCGATGTAGATGGTGGTCGTTCGGTCTCAAATTTCATGGGTTGTTTCATCTCGACACCTGAGTTCGAATCCAATCTCTATTTTGTCGAAACTTGCTTCGAAATTCACGAATTTGAAATTGAAAATAAGGAAGCCGAAACGTTTTAGTCTAGATTTACGGGTTTTGAGGCATATTTCGATGAAACAACTATGGGATTCGGACTCAGGAGGTTACCGACCCATGAAATTTGAGACCGAACGACTACCATTAACGGCGATAGACAGTGGTCGGAATGAAAATGACTTGTGTCCAACGACGGAAATCGGTTGCAAAGTAGAGAGAAAATAGGGAGAAAGAAAAAAGGAAAAAATAAAAAAAAATGAAGAAGAAAAAAAGGATTTTATAATGGATTCGAAACGACGTCGTTTTGGTGTATATTTGTGTTTTTCAAAACGATATCATTTTGATGCTTATGTAATTTATTGTGTGAAGTCATAATACTGTTAAATAGTTAAAGGCAGAGTGAGCAAAATTATTCAATTTGTAAAGTTCAGTGAGTAAATTAGAAAAATAAAAAAACAGGTAAAGAAAATGGGAGAAAGAATATAATTCATTGAGAAACGGTGTAATTTATCGAATAAAATATCATGTGACAATTTTAAAGTTGATGGCTCTAATAAATTGACAAATAGATAAAATCAACTGTCAAATAATATTTAACCAAATAATCCATTGATGATTATTGATGGCTATTGTATCAAAAGTCTCTAAACATTTTTGTATTAATTCTGTTTCCTTCTAAAATAATCTATTCAACCAAATAAGAAGAAATCAAAAGGGCAACGGGAAACATACTAACCTTGGCATAATCGAAAAAAGCAACTAGTAGTGGAACTTAATTTATAGAGAACAGAAATGATAAGATCATTTTCTAAAGAATTAGACAAGGTATAATATCAAAATTAATCCTCAACATTTATCGAAATGATCATTTTGGCTTATGATTTTTTAGTATTTTAGCTCACAACGTTTTATTTTAGAGTAAAAAAGTTTCTAACGTTTGACTAAATAGTCACTTTGGTATTTTAGACTTTTATTTTGAAACATTAGTCGTTCATTAACTAACGATTTTCATCAATACAGAGACCTTTTATTCAAAAATAAAATGTTAAGAGTAAAAATCCTCCAATAAAATAAATATGAACCAAAATAATTATTTAATCGAACATTATGATTTTTTTCTGACATTATACCTATTAAAAAATCTCTCTCCTCGACAATCTCTTGTCAGGAAAATAAATAAATAAATAAATAATATTTTATCTCCAAATTATGATTAATATTTTAAATTGATTCTCAACCTTTATAACATTTAAATTCATCCTATGTTATGACGTTCCTTCTAATACATCGTTAGTGGAAGGTACAATCGAAGACATAATTTGTTTTAAAAAAATCCGCACAGCTTGTTACGAAAGAAAGCGCAGGCGCTCATAGCCAATTCTCTCTCGCATCAACGCCGTCGCCAGCCATGGTCTCCTTCCTTCCCTTTCCATTGCTTTTCATCATTGACGTATTCTCTCTCACTTCATTATTTTTTTACTGTTTGGTTTGAATCCGCAATCTCAGCAACCGGATACGAATTTGACTGAAGAAGAGCTCGAACGAAAGAAGAAGAAGGTTCCTTTATTTTCATTCCGATCTTTTCTCCATTCTACTTGAATCACGTCTAGAAGCATGGATTTGTTTATTGTTTACTTAGAGTTAGTGTTTTACCTCTCTCTTTTTTGATAGGCGAGGGAGAAGGAACTGAAGAAATTCAAGGCCTCAGAAAAAACTAAGGCAGCCAAACTTAAGGTAAACACAATGAAGAATCTGCTTTAGAACTTGAGAATCTGCTAGATATAATTTTGTTTTGATTTTAGATATGTTAAAAACTTAAAATTAGTGAGTGTGTTATTTCTTGTAATTCTGCACAGGCACAACAAGGATCGAATGCTCCCAAAAAGAGTGCAAAGAAGAGTGCCACGCGAGAAGTGGATGATGAGAATCCGGAGGATTTTGTGGATCCAGAGACTCCTTCAGGCGAGAAGAAAAGACTCTCTAGTCAGATGCCTAAACAATATAGTCCAGCTGCCGTGGAGAAGCCATAAGTGTTGAAAAAGTGGATGATTTGTAGATTTGATATGGTTTTTAGTTGGATTTTTATTTAACTTTTGCATTTTTTGTGTCTGTATGTTTAGATGGTATGCTTGGTGGGAGAAATCTAGTTTTTTTTTTTCATGCTGATGCAAGCAGCTTAAAACCACCGTTTGTGATTGTACGAGTCAAATTGGAATTCACACTTTGTGTTCACCGTATTTAATAACTTAACTGATTTTGCAGGTTCTTTCTCCACCAAATGTGACTGGGGCTCTACACATTGGCCATGCACTAACTGGTGCCATAGAGGTTGTGTATTATAATGCTGCTGCCGCTGCTGCCATATTTGATCATCGA